AGGGATATAAAGCAGAGGATAGCACAGGGTCTAGTCGCCTTCAATGAAAAGAAGTCACTTCTATGTTTGGTTAACAATAATTACAAAACGATTGTTATGTTTGGAGCAGAAGCGGGAGTTGGGAGGAGTTGAGGTAGACGTAAATTAGATTACTGTTCGTAAATAGATAAGGATGTGGGTTATTCTAGTTTTGGGGAAGTACGAAGATCAGCTCAGAATAGGAACGAGTGGAGGTGCGTGTCCAACCAGTCTTAGACCTGACGACCTTATAATGATGATCAGGGGCGGCCTTAGTCATTGGAAGGTTCCGGGCGGGTAAATTTTTGCGAGGCCCTCGTTTTTGTGGAATTAATTTTAATGATGATACTTGAAAAATGCAGTGATTAATAAATAAGTTTACAATTTTAAACTTGTTTATCGAAAATTAAAAGAAATTGATAGCAAATTTGCGGCTTCTTTTAAGACTATTAAGAAATTCAAATAAACATTAGTAGTATGTACTATTACTACCTGATATTTTTCTAATTAGATTGTTGCGCGAGGGTGCAAGGCCCCTACAAGAGCGAGGCCTCGGGCGGTTGCACTGTTCGCCACCCCCAAGGGCCGCCCCTGCATCTATTAATGATTCAGAATTCTTTCCATGTGCGAGAGACATACTTATTGTATGCGTATTGAACATTACAATAACATTTACTCGACTGATCCCTACAGTCATTCTATTACGGCAATGCGCGGTTACGGGGGATTACAGGTAAAACGGTTCCTCGAAGGAGATCCATCGATCGACATCACGAGACCTCCCGTCAGCAGTGGTAGGACACCTTAGCGTCTAAGGGTATGGACGCATTCTACTTTATTAGATTACTATTCATGTAGTGTGGAAATATTATATGCAGCGGAAGGACGTACCCATTTTAATTTCGTTTATTTTTACTTTATTACTTTTATTTCGGATTATAGTTTCTGTTTTCTTTGATTTTCTATTTATTAGAATTTAATGAAGAGGCGAAGTACCGCGCAAACCACCGATACATTCATTCTAAAAGCGCCTGTAACATCCTCGAACATTTACGACCAATTGGAAAAATAGATTAATAACGATTTGATCTAGACCATCATCACCCATCCAAAACAAATTTCCTCATTTGACAATGCTATCAATGCTCACAATTTTCACATGGTCGCAATCAATATATTGATTGAATATTTTTAAATTTATTTACCAATTTCCCATTAGAGACAAGAGGTCCTCCTGAATCTCCATAGCAAGTTCCTTTAACGTCAGTTCCTCCAGAACAAATGTTTGAGCTTGTAATGGCAGGACCAAGTTGTATCCTACACACGTTGTTTGGCACAATAGAAACATCGACATATTGCAGTACTTCACTTAAACCGACACCATTAGCATAGATGTATCCCCAACCACTTGCGATTGCCTGACTTCCAACAAAATTATTCGCAGCGTCAGCTCTACTTGGTAGCGCAATCAGTTGAACGTACTCTGTGAAAAGAAGGTAATTTTAGTAGAAAGACAAATAGATATTACAGAATTTATAGGTAAGTACGTTTATACGAAACGGAATAGAAACAAAATATGATAAGCCCGAAAATTAAACTGATGTGGAGACTTTCCGATGGCTTTATTTGGATTTCACCATTCATTAAATAGAGGAAGTATAAACAAAGTCCACGAAACACTGTTTATCAAATGATTAAATTTTGACTTTAATTAATAGGTTTGGTAACCTTTTATTTGACATTAAAGTTTTTTTTTTTAAATATAAAGCTTTACTGCCGAATTAATTTTAATTACATTAAAAAAAAATCAATAATGTCATGTTTCTTACTGAAACCTATATCAGTTACACCAGAATATGATTATGAAAATTGTTACAACTTCCCAACATAATTTTACAATTACCCTTGAGGAGACTGTCAAACGGAGAGCAAGAAGTTTTAAATAAAATATAGTTTTGATTTGAATCAGTTCCCGGTGGTTTTTGTCTTGATCATAGTCATCGTCAAGGAGAAAACGAATGCTAATTAAAATTTAATATAATGTAAATTATAAATAAGTAGAGATAGTTACGATTAAGACTGGCTGGTGTTGGAAGATAAACGATCCCTATATCATTATCTTGTAATTGATTATTGTACTGTTCATGCATTTTAAATCTGGAGGTGCGAATCACTTGTTGAGAAGGTTCATCTTCAAAAACTTTCTGTGCCCCAAGAATTACTTCCAATGATTGCAATCTGTTAAAAGAAATAAAAAGTAAAATGCAATAAAGTGTATTGGGCAATGACCATAAAAACTAAGACTAAATTCCTTACCCACTGGATAAACATCTGGCAGCTGTTAACACGTATCTTCTGGTGATAAGAGACCCTCCACAAAATCTCACCCCATCACTGTAGGTACGTATCAATCCTGCCTAAATACACAAAAAAAAACAATTACATTGTAGACCAGCAATTTACTCCGAATTTGTCTTCAATGGACTTTCACAATTAAATTGCATTTTAATACTAATCGAATCTCGAGCCGATGTAATAGTTTCGGCTACATTACTTTAAAAAGCAAACTCCTAAATATCCTTATAATATTATGAACACGTTACCAATTAACCCAAAAATTTCGATCAAATATTACATATTCCAAATATTTTCTATGCTTACTTGGTATGGTAAAGAGCCTGGTGAAGCTTCATTCCCTCCCATGATCATTAAATCTTCAGACGATGCAAGCCTTTGGAATCCTGTGGGAGCCGATTTACGAGAAGTCATAATTTTAGACCAATCTCTAG